TCCGGCGGCCCTGCCTGGAAGAACTCGATGCGCGGCGCCCGCATGAGCAGGAGGTCCTCGTGGTGCGTGGCGCGCGACAGCAGCACATAAAGCTCCAGCCACCAGTCGTCGTCCTCCTTCTTGCTATTCCCGACCTCGTGGCGGCCGCAGTCCAGGATCACGCCTGGGCGACGTCGGCCGAGGGAGCAGCGCGCCGGACAGCCGACGGCCCAGGGCGAGAGTCCACAGGACCGAGAGATGGTCCGGTTGCAGACCGCTCGCGCCCAGTAGGTTCGGCTGTAGGGTGTGCCGAAACGTGTGACGGGGTGTGCCGACATGGGTGTGGGGGACCCATGCGGGCGGTGGCACTGGGGCCTTCGGTGGAGCCCCCTATGGGGCCACGAAACGTGTGAGGGGTGTGCCGACATGGGTGTGGGGGGCGCATGCGGGCGGTGGCACTGGGGCCTTCGGTGGAGCTCCCTATGGAGCCACGAAACGTGTGAGGGGTGTGCCGGAATGAATGGGGGACGCATGCGGGCGGTGGCACTGGGGCCTTCGGTGGAGCTCCCTGTGAGGCCACGAAACGTGTGAGGGGTGTGCCGACATGTGTGTGGGGGACGCATGCGGGCGGTGGCACTGGGGAATTCGGTGGAACTCCATATGGGGCCACGGCACGTGTGAGGGGTGTGCCGAATTGTGTTTGGGGGGGGCGCATGCGGGCGGTGGCACTGGGGCCTTCGGTGGAGCTCCATATGGGGCCACGAAACGTGTAAGGGGTGTGCCGAAATGGGTGTTGGGGACGCATGCGGGCGGTGGCACTGAGGCCCTCGGTGGGACTCCCTATGAGGCCACGAAGCGTGTGAGGGGTGTGCCGAACTGGGTGTGGGGGACGCATGCGGGCGGCGGCACTGGGGAATTCGGTGGAACTCCATATGGGGCCACGAAATTTGTGAGGTGTGTGTCGACATGTGTGTAGGGGACGCATGCGGGCGGTGGCACTGGGGCCTTCGGTGGAGCTCGCTATGGGGTGACGAAACATGTGAGGGATGTGCCGACATGGGCGTGGGGGACGCATGCGGGCGGTGGCACTGGGGCCTTCGGTGGAGCTCCATATGGGGCCACGAAACGTGTGAGGGGTGTGCCGACATGGGTGATGATGCTGGTGATGATGACTGTCGTGATGATGATGATGATGATGATGACGATGATGATGATGATGATGATGATGATGATGATGATGGTTGTGATGATGATGATGATGATGATGACTGTGATGATGATGATGATTATGATGATGATGCTGATGACAACGATGATGATGATGATGATGATGATGATGATAATGATGATGATGATAATGATGATGATGATGATGATGACGCTGATGGTGATGATGATGATGATGACGATGATGATGACGGGGGGAGAGAGGAAGGGGGAGAAGGGAAAGGAGGAGGAGGAGAGGAGGAGGAGAGGAACGCGGGGCGACGTCTCTTCAAAACGAAGACCCAACACCACAGGATGGATTGGAAAAAGTCTCAGGCGAGAGCCGTTGTTGTTGTAGTCCGGGGGAGCAACAACGCAATTTGACCTGGGCTAAATTGTAAGGAAGTCTAAAGCCGGAGCGCCGTTCCTGAGTAAATTGGAAGGAAGTCTCAGATGGGAGGGGGGGGGTCCTGAGTAAATTTGGAGGACGTCTCAAGCGGGAGCCGTTGTTGTTGTTGTAGTCCAGGGGGCCAGGGGCACAGTTTGAGCACCAAGACCTTCCCTGTCAAAAAACAGGGTGCGAGCGTCGAGGGGCACACTTTAATTGAGAAAAAACAGTAAGCACTGGTGAGGGGGGATCAAATATAGTTCTTCTTCAGACATGAGAATTCAACGACGACGACGGCAACAACAACAAAACCAACAACAACAACAACAACAACAACAACAATCACTTTACCCGAACGCTCAGTGTTCTCACCAGTGCCAGGGTTTTCATGCGACGCCAGCCAATACCCCCACTTTGTGGGGGGGCAGTGCAAGCTCTACCAAATATCCACACGACTCTTCGCCACCACCCACACCCAGCTTCCCGCCCTATGACGTTCGGACACTTCACTTCGTGGCCTGCGGACGACCGTGGCTACTACACTGGCGTGGAGTACACACCCACAGAAGTTGTTAAGCCTACGTTCGTACACCCACAGAAGTTGTTAAGCCTTGTTAACCCAATGGTTTTTGGAGATTTCGGCGTGCGCGCGCGAAGAAAAAACGAATGTGTCCCGCATGGTATTATTTGACAGGGATGATGGCCCTGGCAGGTGCGCAACCGTTGTCGCAGAAGTTCGAAAAAGTTGCTCGCAAAAGCCCGTTTGACAGAAATGTTTAAAAAGTGTTGGGTTTCCTACGAATCCGCAAGAGCGCGCGGGATGAGATTTTGACATTTTTTTGTTGAAAAACCATTGGTTTTTTGATGTTTTTATGTTAAAATCGTTCCGAACACTAAGCTTTTGGAAGGATTTCGTCTTGCGCGCGCGAATGTCCACTTTACCTTATTTTTTGCAAGGGATTCTTGAAATTTGATTATATTAGAACAAGAAATGTCATTTTATAGTGTTTTTTGCAAGGGAAAGCGGGGGGGAACAAAACAACCGGATCTTGATCACATCGAATTACCTGAGGCTTCCTCACGAAAATGATGAAAATGTAGCTGCGGCCTAGGCGCGGCGGGGGGGGCGTGCACCAGGGGGCCCAACAATAATTATTCTTTAGAATTAATAATGTTCAACAACAACAACAACCACAACAACAGCGACGACAACGACAACAACAATAGCAGCAGCAGCAACAACTACAGCAACACCAACAACAACAACAACAAGATGACCATCTACACCACCATCACCACCAGCATCACCATTCGTATCAAAATGATGATCCACCTCACATCATCACCATCACCATCACCATCGACATCATCATCAGCAGCAGCATCAACATCGTCGTCATCATCAGCGTAACCACTATCATCATCATCATCATCATCATCATCATCATCATCATCATCATCACCATCATCATCATCGTCATCATCATCAGCATCAGCATCAGCAGCAGCAGCATCAGTATCTAAGGAATCCTGCTCCTCCTCCTCCCCATACTCATCCGTATCATCATCCTCGTCATCACAATCATCGACATCATCGTCATGTTCGTCATCATCATCATCAGCAGCAGCATGAGCATCATGCACAGCTTCATAGTTATCGTCATCGTCATCCACATCCCCGACCTCTTCCTCATCCTCCCTCCTCGTACTCATCATCATCATCATCATCATCATCATCATCATCATCATCATCATCATCATCATCATCATCATCATCATCATCATCATCATCATCATCATCATCATCATCCAGCGACAGCGACGACGACGATGAGGACGCGGCGATTGGAAGGGGCAGACACAACTGGCGCAGCTCCTCACCCGCGACCCGCTTCGAAGCGCAACAGCCTAGAGACATGGAGGAGGGAATGGGATGGAGGGCGGGAGAGTGAGGGAGAGTGAGGGAGTGTGAAGGAGAGCGAGTAAGGGAGAGAGAGGGAGAGTGAGGAAGAGTGGGGGAGAGTGAGGGGAGTGAAGGAGGGTGAATGAGTGAGTGATTGAGGGAGTGAGTGAATGAATGAGTGGTTGCGCGAGAAAGAGAGAGAGCGAGAGAGAGAGAGAAAGAAAAAAAGGAAGCAAGAGAGAGAGCGTGAGAGAGAGAGAGAAACAAAAAAAAAAAAAAAAAAAACGAGAGAGAGAGAGAGAGCGGGATAACACAAAAACAAAAACAAAAACAACAACAATAAACAGAGACACCAAACAACGAAACAGCAATAAAAATCATACCTCCGCCGACCCCCGCTTGCAGGGGTGTGAGATTGCGTGTAAGATGATTGGCTGTCCCCCTCCCCCGTTTCCCCCCCCCCTCCCTCAGGGACCAAAATCTCGTTCAAGGGGGGGGGATCCGGGACCCTTGGCACCCCCCCCCCCGATTCTCTGGAGCTTCCAATTTCTACCTCCCGTGGCCTCCAAAAAACGTTCCAAGACGATCCCGAATCGCCGAACGATTGGCCCAAGACGCCCATCAGGGCTCCAAGACGCCCCAAGACGCCCTCGAGACGCCCCAAGGACAGCCCAAGAGCCTTCGCAAGAGGGCCCCGAGAGGCGAAATTCAAGGGTTTCCCTTGGGTCTGTCATAGTTTTTTGGGTTCTCGTCTTCTCGAGGTTCCAACACTCCAAGACGGCCCAAGAAGCCCCCTACACCGCCCCACAACTGCCCAAGAGCCTCTTACTGGGGTCCAAGACGGCCCAAACAGGGGCCCAAGACGGCCAAAGATCGCTCCAGAAAGGCCCCAAGAGAGGCCAAGAGGGAAAACACGGACCGAAAACCCGATCCTCCACCCAAAAGGAAACCCCCAAGAAGCACCCAAGCGGCCCAAAAGAGGCACCCCAACAAGCCCCAAGAAGCCCCCAAGAGGCCCAACAGAGGCCCCCCAATAAGCCAAAAGAGGCCCAAAGAGGCCCGAAAACGGCCCCCGAGACTCTTCGAAACTGCCTCCAAAAGCGCCACCAGGCCCCCCAATGCCTCCCAAGACGCCCAAAAGACCCCCCATACAGCGCCCAAGAAGCCCACAACGCCCCAATCGTGGACTGCCCGCCTCTTCTGGGGGTCGGCGGACTGGCGCAAGCCTCTTGAATGAAGAGAAAAGGAAAAAGAGAGAGAGGGAGAGAGAGAGAGGGAGGAGGAACCACGGTGCCGAAGAGAAGACCGTCTCCCTGGTTGGAGGAAGCGGAGGAGGACGGGAAGGAGGAGGAGCAGCAGCAGCACCAGGAAGACGGCGGAGGCGGGAGAAGGGAGGAGCGGGAGGGAGGCAGGGAGGCAGGGAGGCAGAAGGCAGGGAGGCAGGGAGGCAGGGAGGCAGGGAGGCAGGAGGAGGCAGGGCGCCGCACACAGGCCGGGCAGCGTAGGGGAAGACCCGGCCGCCCCTCAGACGCTGCTCGGGTACATCATGACGCGGACGGGGGCCCCGAAGGCGCGGGGGGGCACCGCCTTCTTGAACTTGGCCCGGCACACGCCGGAGTTGCCGTGAGGGCGGCGCACCTTCAGGAGACGTCGCCGCCGCCGCCGTCGCCGCCGCCTCCGCCGCCGTCGTCGCCGGCCTCGGACCTCCGGGCGTCGCGGACAACAGAGGCTTTGTCTCGTCGGTGACGAGGCGGCGAACTCCGCTCCAGCGAGAGGCACCAGCTGGCGAATTGGCCGGCAGCGGACAAAAGAGACAAGCAAGCACGCACAACAAAAAACAGAGCAGCGGCAAGAAACGCGCTCTCGCAGCCTGGGCCAGGGCCTGGGGAGCAGTCAGGAAGCGGCCCTTGGGGCGGGGTCGAGAGAGCTGCTGGGCCCGCGCCACGAACGGGTCCCGTTGCCGGAGGCCTGGGGCGGCGGGCCTTGCCCCACATCACGCGGTACTTCGAGTTCTTGACCTCCTTCTTCGCCTTGTAGACGTAGGCGATGCGCTTGCCGAGGTAGTAGGTGGTGTCGTCCCTCGTGCGGACCCCGTCGATCTTCACGAGCGTGGTGTTGGGGTACACGTTGGACTTGCTCCTCTTGTAGCCCAAGATCACGCCCTTGGAGGTGAGGGCCCCCCCAAGGGGGGCTGCACACGTGGAAGATTCTGGGAGGCCAGGGACCACCTCCGACGGCCAAGAATGCCTTCTTGGATGGCATGTTTTGGCCCACGAACAGTGCTTTCACAGAGGGTTCTCCCTTGTTCGTTAAGGAACTGGCTGCGGCTTGCCGATTTCCAGCTCGTTGCCGCCAGTTGTCACCCCGTGGCTGGCTGCGGATTCACGATGTTCGGCCCATTGTCGCCACGCTGCCGCCCTGCTGCCTCCCCACGGCCACTCTGCATCGCTCCGCAATGATGCGCACTGCTATATATGGCTTTGAATGGCTTCGCACTGGCTCACTGCTCGGGGCCCCACGCCAAAGCCAGCCTGCTTCGCACGGCGCCAAAGCAGCGCAAACCTGGAGGGCAATCGCCACTCGGCAGTGCGTCGAAATTGAGATGGGCAGGGCGAGAAAGGGCGCCCTCTGAGACGGCAGGGGGGGGGCCTTCTCGGCCAAGACCAAGCCGCCGCAGGAGCACAGCACCCCCCCCTCCTCCTCCTCCTCCTCCTCCTCCTCCTCCTCCTCCTCCTCCTCCTCCTCCTCCTCCTCCTCCTCCTCCTCCTCCTCCTCCTCCTCCTCCTCCTCCTCCTCCTCCTCCTCCTCCTCCTCCTCCTCCTCCTCCTCCTCCTCCTCCTCCTCCTCCTCCTCCTCCTCCTCCTCCTCCTCCTCCTCCTCCTCCTCCTCCTCCCCACGCAGGAGTGGGGCGGCCTCTCTGCAGGGCCGCTCCTCGAAGCCGCCGGCCCGCTGCCCAGGCCCCCGGCGCCTCGTGCCATCTGCTCACGGCCGCGGGGCCCCGGGAGAGCTCGCGGCCCCGCCCCCCTGAAGGGCCCGGCCTGGCCGTGCGCGGGCGCACCGCCCTGCGGAGCTCAGCGCTCGGGCGCGAGCGGCCGAACGACCCAGAACGGACTGCCTACAAGGGAGGAGGAGGAGGAGGAGGAGGAGGAGGAGGAGGAGGAGGAGGGGGAGGAGGAGGAGGGGGAGGAGGAGAAGAAGGAGGAGGAGGAGGAGGGCGAGGAGGAGACCATCCTGACCTCACCCGAAGACCCACATTCTGGGTTTGGGGGGGTACGGGTTCCACATGCGCTTTTCACTGCCACACACTGGGAACGAAGGGCAAAAAGGGGCCTCCAGGTTGGGTTGGGGTGGTTTGGTGGGTGGTGAAGAACGCGGGACACTTTGGGGGCACAATCCGCCGCCGCAAAAAAAACTTTGGTCTGCGGCGGGCCGCGCAGTCACGTCCGCGCAAAATCGACGACCACCGGTGGCCCCTGGAGCCCGACACCGACCCGCAGAGGCCCAAAACGGCAGAGAAACGCCCTTCGTGAGGTGTATTCTTTGTCGCGGCGTCCCGGAATCCTGAACCACTCCCCGCCCAGAACTGGCCATCGGACTTTGTCCTGGAACGCCTTCCGACCAGGATCTCGAGCCCAACAAGAAGCCCAAAGCGCTCACAAAGAGCCTCGGCCCTTGATCCTGTCTGGGGGGGCCAGGAAGTCTGGAGATCCAACGCCCCCTCGGGGCTGCTCCGGCCTTGGCGTACAGGCGCACGGGTTGCTTGGTCGCCTTCTTGGCGCTCGCCCGCTTCTCACCCGCGATCGCCTTGGGCGCCATTGGTTGCCTGCGAGCCCAGCGATCCTGTGCGCGGAGCTATGCTGCCCTAGAGCCTGGAGCCAATCTGGCTGCGAACAGGGGGGGGAGGAAAAGGAGGATGAGGAGGCGGAGAATAAGACGGAGGAGGTAGAGAAGGAGGAAAACGAGGGGCAGCAGGAGAAGCCATCTTCAGCATCAGCACAAACATCATCATCATAAAGAATAGTTCCGCACCGTCACAATCAGCATCACCATCACCATCATGATCCTCCGCCTCCAACTCCTCCTTCTCTTCCTCCTCCTCCTCCTCCTCCTCCTCCTTCTCCTCCTCCTACTACTACCACCACCACCACCACCACCACCACCACTACTACTACTACTACTACTACTACTACTACTACTACGACGACTACTAGTACTACTACTACTACTAC